AGTGTTACCTGCAATTATTGCAGGTAACACTTTCTCCTCTGCATAATTGGTGTAGGCTGTCAGTGACACTCCATCTGGATTACTGCTTTCCGTCTCCGGTCTATCGCATATGCTTCTATGATGCTTGTATTCGCACTTCGCGCAACTACGCCTACGGCACTGGTCTGCCCTGTGGTTTCAACGTCCACAATTGAAACACAAATTGTGATCTACGAGGAACTTCTTCCTGTCCGCTAATGTAGTTGCTAGGGTAGAGTCTTCACTCCAGTGCTTTTGTTTTCGGCAGAAAAGGCAATAGGGCTTCAGCTTGTCTCCTTCCTTCTGTGAGAACAGATGCTTTTTCGCATTTGCTACTTTCGACGTGATTTCTCCCAAGCCACTTCCGCAGAGCATCAATCAGGTCTTCCATGGACCATTCCTCCCAATTTTCATCCACTCTCACCAGATCGGGCTTTACTTGAGGTAGCTTGTTAAGCGTAGTCATAACAAACCATTGTAACTTTTGGCCTACTTCGAGGGTTTGAAGGGCGTCATAATTCCTACTTTTTTTTTTCGTAGAATTCTCGCACCCTAAAATAACTGGATCCCTTGACTGGGAATCTCTCCGAAAGAACTCACAATAAATCACAATACTCGATGAAAAACTGTACAGGGAAAACTCGCTCTCGTTTTCGTCTCGTCCAGTTCTATCTTTATCGCACGTGTTCATTACCTTATTTAGTAGTCCTAGCCCTAATTTGGTAGCGCTACTAAACGACACAAAACTGTGAGGGGTAGTGTCGATAAATCTCTCGTACACCACCTTTCCAACATTTTTTAAACTTGTAAGTATGTTTGTCTTGGTAGACAAATTATGAGCTGGTTTTGTGTCATACAACTGAGGATAAAAGAATAAGCAAACTTTACAGAAAGCTACAAAAAATTGTGTGTTGATGTACTGCGCGAGCGAATTATCGCAAAACAAAAACTAAACTTAGCAACATTTAAAACTTAAGCTTATAATATATAGATTTAGCCACGGCTAAAAGCGAAGCTCTCGTTAACATACTGATAGTTTACTCAAACAAAAAATAAAATTCTGTAATGCTAAGCGGCGACGGAAACAAAAACGGAAAAAAAGTAATAAGTCTAATTAGCAAAAAAACAACTTTGCACGCGCAGCACACTTTTTTGTACATTTCTTTGCCGCTGTTTTTGCACGACTACAACGAAAAACGTCCAGAAACTTCCTAGATACATGTGTTCCTGTTCGCTTTTTTTTCACGGCCCCTTTTTTTTTACCTTGGTGGCTGCTAGCATTTCCCATTTTTCACCGCTGCTTTAAAAGTTTCATGTTTTTCTTCCACCGAAATTGGTCTCAAACAGAGCAAAAATTTCGAATAAACAGTACACAAAAGCCAGATTGCAGTACTTACAACGCGCTCGCTTATCTCCATGTCGGAATGTTAGAATGACAAAAAATTTTCTTAGGGGACTGGACTTGTAACAATTTGTCTGACGAAAACCCCCAGGGGAACCTGGGTCCAGTCACTGGTCCAAAAGTGATGGACGCGGTCCACACTCTTCGATTTTTGGCGGACAACTCCAAGACATTTTTGTCCACCGTTCTCGTCCTCAGACTCCTCACGGTCAGTGTAACCGGAGTTGCATGCACAGGAAGCTACTTGGAAGCATACATAAGCAGATTTTCTTACCCCAAACTCGACCGCAATGCTTACGCTCTGGGAAACTCTGAGCCGGCATAGCCAAAATCTGGCTATTTTGGCCTCACAGCGCATGCTCTTTTATCCAACCAAAACTTTTTGCTTCTTCTATATTTATTTCATCAGGAAATTTCCTGCTGCTTCGGAATAAGTTAAATTACATCTAAAATTTTCGGGAAAATAATATTGAAGCCCTTGTAATTTTGAAAAGACTCAAGTTCCCCTTGGATGACCGAACAGATAAAAATTTTATAGCTCCGCTTAGAATGCATTTCTAGAGATGAAAAGTACTCTGGGTAGCCTTAAAAGTGTTTTCAATGTATTTAGGAGGAAATCGTCGGGTGCCCCTGAGCGAGTCGCATTGTACAAGCATCACTTTAGGGAACGATTCACTTTTTCTGTTTACTTTTCTCGTGCAAGTCTGTTTTACGCAATTTACGACATGAAGCTAAACTTTTCATTCATACTCGGCTACTTCGTGTGAATACGATAACGTGGAAGTCGAAGAAAAATCAGTAATCTGTCATCTTTTTGTTGGTCAATTTTCGATATGCAGCTAATGTATTTTATTTGAAAATCGGGGAATCCAGTTATTCTGCCTAATTAGTCGAGCAAGCGTTGTTTTGAAATCGCTGAAATCAAGAATCGGCTGGGTGTTTACATCAACATTTCTAGGAAAACCCGCTCACACGCCAGACACGCCGCGCGTTCACCAACTGTCGTGCGAACTTGAATAAACCAACCAGAAACACTTTCATTGTTTTTTTGCTGAAACCAATCAGAGACAATCTTGCTCCAGGGTTTCTCAGAGCTATTCCTCCCTGGCCGTCATGCGCAGACCAGAGCTCTGGGGTCAAGACTGTTCTTACCCAAGGTGCTCCGCTGCGCGCGCTAGGCTATAAATCAATACAGCTCTACACTACATGTATAGACTGAATACTCTAATGATTGATGTACTGCAGCAACACATGGTTTACCTGCATATTTCAACAGTCTCGGTGGTTTTGAAGCTGGGGTATCTCTTGGGGATAACGGCCTTTTACCTTTGTCCAAAGACTGAAGTCTCTTTGATGAGTCTGAAATGAAATCAGTTTTGGTGTTGACCTAATTATTTTTGCCAGTACATTTACCACCTAACGTGCTTTTGTTTTCAACTGGGAATTAACGTGTACAAGGCACCTTAACCTACGACCAATGTTTCAGACAGCGTTTTACTTCCAGCCGAACTCTATCGAAATATTCTTGTTTAGTTATCGTTCAAATAATACATAGAGGATATTACACGGTAGCGCGAAAATATGAATTTTATTTTCGAGTGACAAAAACAACATTTCACTCACTCGCTGCGCTTGTTCGTAAAATGTTGTTTTTGCCACTCGAGAATAAAATTCATATCTTCAATCCGCCATGTAATGTTCTTTTTATTATATAGACAAAAAGACATCGATAAAATAAAAGAGGAAATTACCGAAATTACGTTATCGATAAACTCACGTGTGAGATTATGGAAAATAAACCAATCGGGTCCCGGATGTAGTTTTTATGAATTTTGCGAGTGGTATATTTTCCAGTAGAACACTCGTGTCTATATAATAAAGCTATTTCTGCCAAAACATAGGTGCAGTTGTTTGTGATAATATCTGCTTCGAAATGAGCATATATTAACAATGCTTTCAAGTTTAATGAGTGCACGGGATCTTTTTACTTTGTAAACGCAATAAATCCTAACTATAAGCATACATTTAGCCTGCGATTACAGCCGCCTCTCATCATTCTCTTCCACAAAATATCGTCAGTGACAGGGAGCGATGGGAGAGCCGGTTTTATTTGCGGGCTCGCATACATTTCGTTTTAAGTCTAATATATATGCAACAGAAGACGCAATACAATAGTACTTATTTTAACTGACCTTGTGAAGAGATCACTTTCATCCTTTCAACAAGTTTATCGCACTGTTCCTTCCAGCTGTACTTTTTTGCATATGCACCACGCACAACGTCAAACTCCCAAAGTCGCATTTCCTTGTCTTTGTGACGGACAGCTCTGATTGCATTTGCCCAGTCTTTAGGATTTCCTGATTCCACAACACAGCTTGAACCATGTGGAACTTTCTTCAAAGCTTCCGCAAGTCCAGAGTTCCCACTGACCAGCGCAGGCAGACCAGCAGATAAAGCCTCAAGGGCGGCAAGACCAAAGCCCTCAGTTCGTGATGGCATTACAGCAAGATCTACTTCGCAAAATAAATCAGCTAGTTTCTCCCAACTTTCATGAAAGCGACGCACTTGAAGTTGACTAGGATCAATAAGTTGCTCCATTAACTTTCTTGCTACTTTCTCTTCTCCCCGTGTTGCTCCAACAAACACAAGTTTGTAGGTCATGTCTTTCAACTCAGCAATGGCTTGGGCAGCGATGTCATATCCCTCCAGCTTGAAATCTTCACTGTCACCACGTCCAAAGACCAAAACATTGAATGCCTCTCTTTCATCAGTGGCTTGGTTTACATTTGCAAACTCCGAGAAAATTCCAGGAGTAAAATTGAGAACATCTTGATCTTTTCCACAAGGACTGAGATAACCTGAAAATACTTCAACCAGCTTGGGACCAACTGCTACAACTTGATCAGCCAATTTACAGAGTTCAACCTCAACCTGGTGTTTGTCCTCGCCACTGGAAATGTGCTCTTCATATCCTTTGTACATTCCAAGTTCTTCTGGAGAAGTATGAACGATCTGAATCCACTTGCAGTAAGGATGAGTTCGCTTGATAAACTGCACTTGCCGACCAAGAACAGCCCCATGCCCTATCACACAGTCCACAGCATGGTCTTCTGGCAAACAAGACAACCAGAAATTTGGCTCTAAACCTGGCATTTCTCTTGCTTTAATCAGGCGGACATTGTGATCTCTAGCAACTTGTTTATCCTCTTCACTACACTGAGGGAGATAAACGCTGATCTCCACGCTGCGGTGTTTTGCCAACTGAATGGCCAGTTCTCGGTTGATGGTTGACAAGCCTCCTTTTGTTGATCTCCATTCACTGCTTAACAGAGTAACTCTCAATTTCCTGGAGGAAGTGGATCCTAAATAGCTTTCATGGTCTTCCTGTGATGTAGAGGCTGTGCTAGGAAAGGATGACAAATCCTAAAAGAAGAGTAGCATGACTTTACTAAAGGGTTTAATAAAAGGCCTTTTTACTACACTGTAAGTTGATACGAACTTAAATTGAGTTATATTTAAACTCAACCATTGTCTTGCATTGCTGTTCTGAGTCTATTTAAAAAGGTTGAAAAGAACACTACAGATTAACTATACTAACAAGTTTA